TGGCAACTCATTCTTTGTTAAAGCGCTCACACTCTGCTGTAACTCTGCTCTAATAAACCTTTATGTCTGCAATGCAAATCACAACATGTCTGAGAAAATAAATTTAACCAGCCTCACGCGAGTCCTTATCCAGATCACCCAACAAACATGGGCTGTTGTATGGGGTAATGTGGGCTCAGGACAATCCATTTTGCACTAGGAAAATGGACACGGTGCTGAGATAAAATCACTGAGTGAAAGGATGTATCAGGAGTTGTGAGCATGGCTGTGTGAGGTGTGCCAACTGCCGGGCTCTGCCTAAGGGAGCTGCCAGATTAGGCTGGCTGAATTCTGTGTTCACAAGCAAGAGGTGTAAGGTTGRAAACAGAAATCTTGCTGTCAGTTCTTGACACAATTTTTCTCCTTCCTGTGATGCTACAAATCATTTATTTACCTTTTTGTTTTCTAATGGTCACTAAGGGATTGCTTTATGGCCCCTTGCCTTGCCACTTGTATTAAAGAGAATGAATGATGTGAATGAAAATACAAATCATGGGTAACTATCAGGAGATTCTTTAATTAACTTTTAATTTACTAAACAGTACCCAGTGGTACTATTGTGACTCATCTGAGTCCATTAATCTCATCACAGCTGAAATCCTGTAGAAAGGAAGGTGTGACTCAGGTTATTCCAGTATGTAGGGGCTTCCTCACAAGTATTTCTACACCTTTGGCTGCACAGAGAATTTCATATCGCTGACTTCTGTTAGGAAATACAGACAATGAGACAAYGGGTGTGTTTCCTTCAGTGTCATGCACCAAAAAACATTCCAATGTTTTATGATAGAAATTTCAATTTACACACTGATATAATCCCAAGAACCCAATTTCTCTTAGTACAGAGAGCTGGCTGATATTCTGAGAGAAATGAGAGATACATTCCATTTACTGACGGTATTTTACTGTTTGAGAAGATAAAATATGCTGGAAAATCTCTCTCAGAGATGAGAGACCAATATTAAAATAGGACATCTCCTTTAGATGTGTTTTGCTTTCTGAAGATCATAGTGAAGCCTCTTTTCAATCTGTGTGCACCAGAAACAGGGAATCAGCCATGTGTCACYTACAGGTGCCTGTTGGTCCCTTCCCCTCTGATTAAACCTGGTTTCCAGTMCTTCCCATTTCATTCCAGACTGAAGGATTGATCTGTTAGGGTAATGAAATGACACACTTTCTCATCACAACCAACTTACAAGAGTTTGATTTGGTTTAGGCCATTTTTCAGTAACCACATGCCTTGGCTCTGCCAGCACAGTACCCYGACTGCAGCCTGCAGTGAGTGTCCACAAAGAAGAGACATTTTCTACTCATGTTGAAAAACTAACTTTTATCAGTCCAATATCAGGAATTTGTGTGAATAAAAGCCTGTCTACAATGCATAAAAACCTCATTTCGGGTTTTAACAATTTAAAAAGTGATGCAAGACAAATGCAAACATGACTTTGGTCTCCAGAGGCTGCCAGAATTCACTCAGGTCTCAGCTGTACTTACCATGGCCAAAGCACCTGAAGGAGACATCTCTTTTGAGGGCGATTATGGAACCTCAAACTACAGTTCACGTATGTAAGCAAGTACTGAAAGTTTATTGTGCCTCCTTCTAATGTTCCAGAAGCACAGAGAAGCATCACAATGATCAAAAATACAGCCCTCATCCACAGAACTGGGAACTCCAGAGCTGCAGGGTCTGTCCCCATTTCTGAGCTGATTTGGGAGCGTGGGTGCAATGGGTGGCACTGGGGAATCCTCAGGAGTGGATTAGCTGACTGTGGAGTCCTGCTGCTGACAGCACAACACCCTCCACACATTCCTGCTGACCATGGGGCACTAATCCCCACCCAGGGATGGGGCAAGGCCTGTCCTGGGGACAACAATTTGTCACAGATGTGCCAAAGCCCCACAGCCTCTGTCTAAAGCAGGTGCTCCAGAAACCTTGTGCTATTTCTGTGATCAGGTATCCTGACACCACTGCCTGCTCCTGGTGCWCACTTCACTCATCCATGGTTCTTTGGAAAAGCCATACAGTTCCTTAGTGTTCTGTAAAGATCTACAGGATAGGAAAAAAAGGCTTTGGCAGGGAGGAATTTAGAATTTAATTAGCCACTATCATTGCTAACAGGAGCACATGGGAGCAGGTACAGAGAAAGAGAACAGGAAAGGATTACTGTTTTGGAAGAATTTAATTTYTCTTGGAAGGTATTTCTAAATTTTTCCTTTTTCAGTGGTAGGAAGTTCTATGAGCAACAATTTAGATCAACCACAGAATTAAAATAGCTCACATTTAAGAAGGTTTTCTGTACGTCTACACATATGCAAGTTTACAGGCCCACCCCAGGGAGTCACATAAGAGAATGATGAGCCCAGAATGTGGCGATGTGGAAATCCTTCAGCTCTGAATAAACTGAGGAAACACATAGGTGAGTGATGCTGCAGGACAATGGGTGATGGATGAGGAATGCACAAATGGAGTTCCTGAYGAAACTCTTGGGAGTAGCACCCTTCTTACCAGGACCACAGTTGACTCATTTACTGTAAAACAATTAATTGCCAGTAATTGTTTCTAGGGTTGTTCTTTCCTTCTCATGTAACTGAGGACATACATCCAGTGGTGGCATCACAGCTTCTGTGGAAACCACAGGCAGCTTTTAGTTCTTCTGCCAATTTGGAGTATCTGTTTGTGGCTCAGCATCCAACTTCACCAGCGAGTAAACAGCATGGGGAAAGGACTCACAGCACTCCTACTTCAAACAAACTTTTGATTTGCAGAGGTCTGTGGGGTATACTATGAGCAAAAGCTCTGCCAGGGAAGATGTGATTTCAAAGCTCTTACAGCCCCTTTCAGTGGCTGAGGAGTCTCAACACCTTTTAGAGCAGAACATTTCTGACCTTCTATCACTGCAAGGACTCTGAAAGGTAATGGCTCCTAAACAGACCTGGTTCTTCTGGCTTGTGAAGTAAATCAGCAGATCCAAAATTACTCACAACAGCCAACTCAGGGCAAGAGTCATGTAAAAGGGCCAATGGCCAGAAATTAACATGGAGGCAAGGAAACACCCCCAAATAACAGAGCAGAAAGTTTAAAGATTAAGTGTTTGGGATGCAGTTATGGCAGTAGGKATGGTTAGATCACCTATTCAAAATAAAGAAGAGAGGGACWGAGGGACAGAGAGAAGGYACCYGGYSGTAGTATGAAATTACAGCATTGGGAAATGTCAGAAATTGTTGGGTCGAGTGTTGTGATGCAACAATACTGAGAAGGAGATATAAAATCAACACCTCTGGCACTAACGCCAATCAGCAATAAACATCTCATAGGGGAGAATAAAAGTGCATTTCAACAATCTAATGAGGAAAATATGACTAAGGAATCACACCCTGTGAGAAAATAATTTTTATTTTTTAATAATCATGACTCAGTCTCAGTAACATATGCAAAGCACCTGGTTCTGACGTGCAGATAATTAGAGAGCTACCAATAAAACAACAATCATAATTATGCAGATCAAAGGATTATATTATCTGTGATATGGAGGTGATGGTGTGTCAGGAAAGAGGGTGAATGGTTTTCCATGATTCTTCAGTCAGCCGTAACACGCATTAGTAACTTTTATGGATCTCATAATGATTGTGGCTAAGAAAAACAATCTTGCTTGAGCCACAACTGCAGGGTGTGTTTAAGTAACAGCATAAATGGAGAAACCAACAACAAAATGACTGAGTAAATTGTAACTCCCAAGTAGAGATGAATTCCCATCAAAGTTAACCCTTACACAAGGAGATGCCTTATCTTTCAGGCTTAAAATTCACATTTTCCAGAAGTTATTTAAAGGCAAAATTTCCTTTCCCAAGAAAGGCTCCTTATATCCTGCCCTCTTTACAGAAACACTGCAGTTATGCAGAAACAAGGGACTAGAGACCAAAGGCAAGGGGGATCCATAGGGTCATCACAGGATAAAATCCCCAACATCAATTGACCAAGATCAGACATGAAACTCTTCCATCCAAAGCCCCTGCAATGAAAGCACTTCCAGACCCTTCTGCCTCCCACAGATAAAAAGTTCCACTTAGTTTCCAGCCCAAACACACTCAAATCCAGACTGTGTCCTTTCCTACATGGACAACAGAATTGTCCTGTATTTCCAACAGCCCCAGTACCTCCTTCCTCAAGAGCCAGCTGATAATCTTCTCAACCTCCATCTCACCAACACAAATTCTTTCTTTCTTCTCCCAGGATATAGCCCTACAGATTTTACACATCTATTTCAGTTTAAAATAATCTCTAAGTGATTTGAAATCAGCACAAAATGTTTAAGAACTCACAACTTGAAAATGTCATCATTGCACATACATGGAACTGCATGAGATGGGAGGATTTCCTGGAAGTGGTACCACCAGAGTTTGGGGAAATAACATTGCTGCTTTTAAGRTCATCCTTAAAATCATCACTGTGATTTACCACTAAGTACTCTGAGACACAGTGTCCACACTGAGCTTTCTTTTCTTAGGAAGGACCTAAATTCTTAGAGGTTTTCTTTCTAGAATTAATAGTTTCACATGATAATTTGAACCAGCCTCACGCACAGGGTGCCTGAGTTCGTGCCTCTCCTACTCTGAAATTAAAGCAGAGCGATTAGGTGGTGCTTTCACCRCCTGTTTTGAAGACAAAAAAAATTGCTCCAAAGAACAAAGAACAGCTATTAAAATGAGTCTCWCTCACTAAGTAACCAGTAACAAACTATCTCCAACAAAATCTAACTCACAGCCACCCACCCRAAATTGCAGTGCAGGCTTGGTGTGAATCAGCATGCAAACACAGTACCTGGGGGGAGGGCTGACCCAAGCCCCAAAAGAAATTCCCCTTAGCACATCACTTTCRGAATGAGCACCATGGCTGGCAAATCCCATGGGAAGCTGGACTGCCTGGCAGGTGACACCCACCCGGGCAGGTATAAAGAGCCACCAGCGAGCACGGCCCGCTACACTTTGATTTCCTGTATCTCGCTGAGCACTGCTTTGCATCTGGGCTTGGATATCTGATCCCTTCCACCATGAGCTGCAGCATCAAGAGAACATCCTGCACCTCGTACAGGAGTGGAGGAGGAGGTGGTGGAGGYGCCTGTGGTGGCGGCAGCGGCCGCGGCTCCTCGACATCTTGCCATCGCTACGCCTCCTCCATGATCGGCGGGGGCAGCTACGGCGGAGGCGCCTGTGGGGGCAGCTACGGGGGTGGCATGAGCATGGGTGGCATTGGTGGCGGCTTTAGTGGGGGCTTTGGCGGGGGCTTTGGTTCTGGGGGGGACATGCTGCTGACTGGCAATGAGAAGGTGACCATGCAGAACCTCAACGACCGCCTGGCTGCTTACCTGGAGAAGGTGCGAAGGCTGGAGGAAGAAAATGCCGAGCTTGAGCACCACATCCGGGAGTGGTACAGGAAACAAGCTCCCAGCGTTTCCAAGGACTACAGCTCCTACTACCAGGCSATCGAACAACTCCAAAATCAGGTAGGATCCCCCTGGCACACGTGGTTCCATCTCCCACCTGTCGTTCTCTCCTCTAAGGCCTTCCTCCTTCCTCTTTGCTCCTTCCTCCTCCCTGCTCCTTCCATCCCCGGTGCTGGGCTCTCCTGCTTGTGGGAAGCCCGTGCTGGTGGCACTACAGGCAAAAACCCAGTAACCCTAACCCTGCTGAGCTGCACCTCCACCCCCTGGCTGAGCAAACCCCACAGCAGCCCACAGGCAATAGGGACGTGCTCCGAGGGCACAGCCCGAGGCACCAGGAGCTCCACCAGCCACAGACACGTTGGTGCATGGAACGTACATCCCACGGKGTGCAGGTGGCTCCAAAGCAGCCGTGTGTGGTTTGCAGYGCTTCTCTCTGCTCCCACACAGTTCAGAGGGATGGTGTGCAAACCCAAAGCACCTGGATGGCAGGATCTGAGCTCCCTTTGTCCCTGCACACTCCTACAGACACCATATGGAAGGACTCAGATCTTTCCTTACAGACCACYTTTTCCATAATGAGATGTCTTACAGCATCAGGGGCAAAGTCCACTCTGCTTCCTACACCCAGAGTGCAGAATTGCATGGGGTTTGGCCATTCCCAATGTAAATGTTCTTCTGTTCTTTCCCCCATCAATATTTGCTTGCATCCAAACCTTTGGAAAGCCAAAACCTTGCACACACCAGTCCCTGTGGCATGGCAATTCAAGAACGTTCTGTGGTATSTACACTACTCCATAAAACAATTCTCAGACCAACAGTAAGACTCTACCAAAACTTTGTGTCTTCTTTCTGCTTGTCCTGGAAATCATGAACACAGAAACACACTCTTGTCCATCTTTCCCTTTTGCAGATCATTTCTGCCACTGTGGACAACAACAGAATGCTGCTGGACATTGATAACAGCAAGATGACTGCCGATGACTTCCGAATGAAGTGAGTACCTCCCTGTGAACCTTGTCTATTTGGTGTCATGAATTTTACGAGACTTATGAATGCAGATGAATGATACCCTGTCCAAAGTGATACGATCAAGCCTACATGTTGTAACACAATGAATGTGCAATGMTTCGCTTTCCTTTGGTACAGGTATGAGAATGAGCTGGTCATCCGTCAGACYGTGGAGGCTGACATCAATGGCCTGAGAAATCTCCTGGATGGTCTCACTACCACTCGGTCTTCACTGGAATCCGAGCTGGAGTCTTTGAAGGATGAGCTGATGTCTCTGAAGAGAAACCATGAGGAGGTACGATGCAATGATAAACAGCACAGCCTAACACATAATCCTTCGATTCTTCACAGTTCCCACCATCACATAGCAAGCCAATTCCACCTCATGCCATGGCATTRTCATTCTTTGTCCCTTGGTACTGCTTTGCCCACAGTCCCCAGCACAACAAATGACCTGTGTRTGCTCTTRTGTCTCTCTCCAAACTCCCTGCAGGAAATGAGGCAGCTCCAGTCCCAGACTGGTGGAGATGTGAGCGTGGAGGTCAATGCTGCTCCTGGAGTRGATTTGACAAAGACCCTGAATGACCTGAGATSCGAATATGARCAGATCATYSAGAAGAACCGCAAGGAGGTGGAGCAGTGGTATGAGGTCAAGGTRGGKAGCAATGCCCAGAGCRGAGTSTCCTTTGGTGGGACAGCCCAGACACGCCGCTAGYGGGACAGGAGGAAAGGGACRRGCTCCTGAGCTCTCACTCAGCAAATGTGCTCYCTGARGAGCTGCTGGGGCTCAGAAAGTGACTCTGGGCTTTGACTCCACAGATTGAAGAAGTCAATCGCGAGGTCACTTCCAGCAGCCAGGATTTCCAGACAAGCAGCCACCAGCTCACCGAGCTGAGGCGCGAGATGCAGAACCTGGAGATCGAACTGCAGGCGCAGCTCAGCACGGTACGTGGGCACGATCTGCTGGCCCTTCCCTCCTCTGCCCRAGCMRKGAGCTGTAGAACTCAGCTCCTCACCTCCTGTGTTTGTCATTGCAGAAAAGCTCTCTGGAAAACTCYGTGKCAGAAACYGAGTCTCGCTACRGCYGCMTGCTTCAACAAATCCAGGGGCAGATCTGTGCCGTCGAGGAGGAGCTGGCCAGCATCCGCTGTGAGATGGAGAGCCAGAACCAGGAGTACAAGATGCTGCTGGGCATCAAGACCCGCCTGGAGCAGGAGATCCARCAGTACCGGGCACTGCTGCAGGAGGGRCAGCAGGACCTTGTGTAWGTTCTCTGTTTGCAAATAAGSGCACAAATTCTATCACAAGTTTTTCTCTCTTGGCACTCAGAGATGTCAGAGCAGAATATATGRCTTGTCTGGAGCTGAAATCTAAATTCAGCACCTCCTTTTCATGGCACCTTTATTGAAATGTGGCTATCAGAAACTTCATACACACATCAAACACAAAGGGAAACACAGAGCATATTATAACTGATAGGTCTTAAGTTAATCAGTTCCTGTTGACCTGTTTGAGCAGAGTGAATTCCATGAGAGGGATCACTGTGCCAAATGAAGCTGTAATGAAGTTCCTTCTGTCKGCAGGCAAACAAGCACAGCTGGACTGTGAGAGTACAAGAATTATATGGCACCAGTCTCTTGCTGTCTCTGCTTTTACAAATTCCTGGGAAAATATGGCTGAAGGGAATCAAATTTAAAAATATATAGTAAAAAAATATTTTCAAGATTCAGGAAAAGCCAAGCTGTTACATGCACTGCACATCATGTCCATATGTGTTTATTGTTCCCTTCATTAAAACTCRTTTCCTTTCACAGATCGTGTCAAGGATCTTCCCAAGGAGGAGGAATGTCCTCCCACTCTTATTCTTCTTCCCACTGTCATGGTCAATCCAGTGATAAGGGAGGTAAGAAACATCTTCCAAAGAGGATCCAAGCTTAGGGCTTTCACATTTTGTGTTTCATCCCTTTTCCTGTTAATACCAACCTTGTGCTATGGCTTTCACATCTGCAATATGAAACCATTCACAATCAAAGTTCTTCATTTCAAAGTGCTTTGGCTCCAGTTCCAGAGACAGGTTAAGCTCTTTTCCCATGTTTTCGCTAACAAATGGATATTTAAATAGTGGRTATATCTGAAATACCAGTGCTGTAAAGAGACTCTTGGTTTCTGTATCAGAGTAATGTTTTTTTCTTGCTTTTCACAGGGCAGTCAAGAGTGTGTTAAGACATCACCAGCATGTTGGGCTTCCCTGATCCAGTCAGCGCCATGGGAGCAGCCCAGCCCACAGCGTGATAACGTACAGACCACACCCAGAGTGACCTACCCCATGCACAGACTGCCCTACAACGCTAATAATGAAGTCAAAATTAATAATTCCTAGGCTTTTCTTAAAATTATCTACTTCTCACTTTTCACTGTGATCACTGTACTTGCACACAGGCATCTGCAGTGCACTTGGTGCTCTACTGCATGACAATGCCTCAAATAAAGCTTTACCTTTCTGCAATGCAAAGAAAACGCTGTGTCCAGCAGTCTATTTCGTATATAATTATTGTATTTACGTTTAGGTGTAACAATTGAGATATACAAAGAAATTAAGGTTGGGTAAATTATGTAATATGGCTCCAAAGAAATAGATGAATCCTAAATTGTATGATGACGGGATAAAATCCTGGAGATAAACGGAAACATCCACAATAAACTCAAGGGTGACACCTATGGGAAAGAGAAGGGGGTGGGGGAACTCCTTTTTCATAGCATATGTTGCAAGGAGTGTGCAAGTAATTGATTTACCAATTCAGTGATTGAACTGAAAAATCAGTATTGATTAACCCCAAAATTTCATTAACATTTTATGAAATCAAAACCACTATCCTTTGAGTCATGGAATGGGAAATCAATCCTATCCAGGCAGCCCTTTCCCAGTTTCTGAATGAGAGCTCTGTCTAGTCTTGTTCGATTAAAGCAAAGGGTTAGATCTGGAAGTGWGTGAGGAGTATGAAAGTTCTACCAACACAACATTCAGTTGTTGGGATTATTCCTCCTGTCATGTTGGAAAATCCTAGCTCAGTTCCTAATGAAGAGTGTGTTCCTTCATTCCATAGGGTCATTCCCAGCTCCATGCTGGGCGGAGCTCTGAGTGGAGGATGGCAAGGTGCAGGCAAGGTTTTGTTTCTAAATCTGCCCCACTTCGTGTAGCACTCACTGTATTGGGGCTCAACAGAGGAAGAAAATTGATGAAATAATCTTAGTCATTTCAACTTTACAAATTTGCATTTCAGTGTTTGATTTACAGGGCTGAGGAAGCTGCTGAACAGGGTCRGCCACATAGCAGGGGAGTGACTCCACTGCCACCCTGCCCCAGACCCGGGTGGGTCTCTCAAGCCTCATTGTTCCCTGAACACCTCGTAAATCACCGACATTTCTTACCCTGTCACACAGCTTTACACTTCCACTTTGGTTTGAAGAGAGTGAGGTGAATTATCATTTTGGATAAGGCATTATTTTAAAAGATGTCAAACTGTTTCATGTTACAATCCAAGCTGAATTCTCAGCACAGCAGGAAAGAGATTAGTCAGAGAAAATATTTCCCTGGGAAACATGGCTTTGTAACATCAAAGCAGAATTGTCTCTCCTTGGAGTCACAACAGGACTCTCCTGCTCTGTGCAAATGACAGAGACTGTTCTGCCTTACATTCCCTTTTATTCCTCTCTCTTATCAATCAGTGCTGACTWCTCCCAAACCCCTCAGCACCAGCCAGCTATCATGGACTTTGGGATCAAATACCTTCTTTAAGCACAGTTTAACCAGGAAGAATGTCTGAAAGGGGCAAATTTTGTCCCAKGCTGTCTGTTGGGAACATTCTCCTGCTTCCCTTCTGCTCTCCTGTAAGTGGGATACATTTGCAGGGCCAGCATGAGGGAATGCTGTGTTTTAGCCTCATTCTGCTCCATTGGTGTGTGCCACAGCTCCATTCCAGGGTCGGGATTTATCTGTAGGTGACAGATTTATCTGTAGGTGACAGGCATCTGGACAGTGTGTCCATCCCTTTGGGTCAGCTCACATGGCAATTCAGGAAATATAAGGTAGGATTTGTGACACAAACTGCTCAAAACACTCTCGAAATTAAATTAAAGCCTCAGGTCTGGGATACGGTTCATACAAGGAAAGAATAGCTTAATCAATAAAAAAATTGGCACGATTTTATTTCATGTCAAATGGATTCATGCCATGGATTCGATGGCTGTGTTTAACAGCCGAGCCTGCAGGGGGCGCTCTGTACTGCTCCCGCTTCCCAAAATCCCAAATCTCGTGGATTGTGGCAAAATTCTGGACATTAATCATCTCCAGCTGGGTCATACAACATTTTCAGGAGGTTTGATGAAGACAAGAGGGGTAAATTATTGTAAAGAAAGAAATTCAAGACAAGAACCAGAATTCAGTGGACTGAGTTCACCGAGGGGCTCCACTGTGGATCAGGACTATGCCATACCTGCAGGATTTATTTTTTTGCCCACAGCAAATGCTTCTGTTTGCAAAGGCAGTTGTCAGGTATGGACAGGTACGGCAGCCCACTGCTACTCTTGGTGCCTCTGTGCACAGCCCTGCTAGACTCTGGCATTCCTGGCTATGAGGAAATGGAACCATGGAGGTGACAAGGCAGGTTTTCCTCTCGGCCCACCACTGACTCAAGGACTGAGAAAAGAAACTCTGACTCAATGTGCCTGTAAAAAAAAAAGCAGGAGGAAAGGAAGCTGCTTCTGTGATATTTCTGACATTTACAGCCCACCTTTAACCATGAAAAATAGCAGCAGCCAAGTTAAGCAAGTATGAGAATTCATGCAGGAAAATCCTTTTTCTCTGTAACGATTTCTGTTAGGTTTCTCGTCATATATAACACTTTGGAGTGCTAATCCCAACAAACCTCAGAATTTATTGTAGTATTACCACATTGTGACTGCTGTATCCTTGGAAATGCTCATAGGCAGACTGGAGGGGCTTGGATCAACCTGCTCTGTCCCTGCCTGGGGCAGAGGGTAAAACTGGATGAGCCTTAAGGTCCCTTCCCACCCAAAGCATTCCACGATTAAGGACAAGTGACAGTGAACACGTAGTCTCAGGCTCATTGGGGCTGACTCTCAGAGCTGGTTTAGTACTGCCTAAAGAGAAGTTTTTGTGAGCAGCAATTACTCCTAATAGCGCAGTTTGGGAGCCCACGCTCCCGCAGCTCCGCCAAACCTGGCTCCAGGGAACACCTTTCCCTGGCACACCCCTGTGCTCCCAGCCCTGGCAACCCTCACAGGGCTGTGATCAAAGCACCCACAGCCTCAGTCATCAACATTTTCTGACAACATTGCCGATCTTAGCTCAGTTCTTTCCCAAACCTATCCAAAATCACAGTCGTACCCAAAAGTTCATGGCAATCACACACATGCAAAGATTTTAAATCAATGCCAAGAATGCATTTCTGTCGAAAATGCTGTTAGAAATCATGTCACCAGATTTTATCAGTAATTAAAGATGAATCCATTAGGAAAGTGTGAAAAGGCACTCAGCAAGCACTTTGGTCACTTGCTTTGTTGGCGGTGGGCTGCCCAAAATACAGACAGTTGGCACAGACCTCAGTTTTAAGATTTAAAGCTTGAATATGGATGTCAGAATCTGGTGGGAAACCACGGCTCTTAGTTGAGGTAAAAGCCAGGATTGGCTGGTACACATTAACAAGGGGAAAACAGTCTTTTTTGAAAGTGGCACAAACTATCAAGAGTAGTAAGAAATCCCCTTTTGTTCTCTTGAAGGTGTGACCAGCCAGGGCAGCCAGAGCCAGACTCTGAAGGAGTTTCCATGGACTGAGAGTTGCCATGAGAACCAAGTGTTTAAAATGCCTTCCTGGCAGCAGCTCCACAAAAAAAAAGAGGATACAGGGATACAGGATACCCCTCCTAGAGCAACAACTGGATTTTCTCACTGAGCCCAGCCAGAGATCTGCAGGCTCTGAGAATTCCTGTCAAGAAAAACTGAGCATGAAACCACCAGGATGATCAGGAAAGTCCAAATCCATGGACCCACCAGGAGGGTACGAATAGAGCTCCTTGTTTTCTAATTAGATCCAGAACACGAGCTTAAGACTTGCACAGTAATATCTCTACCCTCACTGGAAGCTGGGGCTTATCCCTGTGATCAGAATATATTCTTGTAAAATTAGCAAGAGAAATAATAATCTATAAATCTATATATACAAATATGTGAGTACATAGATATAAATAGTAGACATAGGAATGTTTTACGCACAGGAACAGAATAAAACAACTCAGTCCTGTGCTATGAACTCTATTTACTCCGTGCCTCTCCCAAGTCTAGGATTTATTTTGGAGTAGGAATTTTCCATGTGCTGTATGGGAAGATCCCTGTGGATAGCCCCAGGCCTCCTCCCTCAGTGTGAATCCCAGCAGCGTGCAGAGCCCATGGCAAATGTCCAACAGCCACTGCTCCCCCGAGCCTGGGACAGGTTCAGTCCCTTCGGGTTTGGCAGAAGCTCCTGCGCTGCCTTTGCTGCTGCCTGCAGAAACCTGACTTTTGGAACACGTCCTCCTGTTGGATGTTTAACCCTCAGATAATAGTTTCCAGCCCCATCGTATCTTGCTGAGATTTACCAGGCAGATAACAGGTTAAAGGAAGTGTGAAAGTATGTCCAGTGAGTTGACTTGGGTGCCCCAACTGAGCCTTCCTTCCCACACAATCTTTAATCATAGATAAAAAAATCTGTTTTATTTTCCTGTCTCAGGTACTTTACTGCCCGATTTTCCTTATCATTAGAGCTCTGGAATGATAGAGGAGTCAGGAGTTTAAAGCTAGTTATGTTTCTAGGGAAACAGGGACAACAATGAGGCATATCCACACCACAGCCAGTTTCAAGGATTTGCAAAGTATTTACACTGCTCCCAGTTACTGAAGTACTTGAGCTCTTCAAGAGGATCTTTTATGTATTTTCCTCATACTAATCAAATACTCTATAAATGGCAATCATTGAGAAATTAAATTCTGTGCCTCAATAGCACTGCAGCAGCCTGAGCAGGAATCATTCCAGGTCAGCTCAAATCACTGATCCATCGTTTCTGTTCTGCCATGAACAAACCAGAGCCCTATACAGAAATGTCCTTTGTCTTACTCTCACAATTTCTGTTAAAACAGAACCCTTACATGACCTTATTTCTCACCTCTGTCAGTGAAGAAATTATGCATTCCCTCCACCACAAACCCAAAATAGTAATTTTAAGTAAATTCCCAGTGTTGCTGTGCTCTTCTCTACCCTCTTCTCCAGCTGCTCACAGCTGTGTGTGCATGTGCTGGGACCTGCCTCTTCAGCACAGCAACATTCTTGTCTCACAAATCTATTGGCACATTCAGGGAATTTATAACAGTGCCAGGTTTGTGAGCATTTGAAAAAAAAAAAAAAAGATTTATGATGGGCTGTAGAAGCCAGATAGCTGAGAGCTGTATCTTGGGCAAACCTTAACCRTATTTACATTACTACT